GACTGTATTTTAGCTGAACCAGAGGAAGGCTGTCAGATACGCTAAAAGCGCTTTTGCAACGATTTTGTTATTAAAAACATATCAAAAATGTTTTTTTGCTACCATTTGCCATGTAGTTTAGAGATCTTTTTAAATTTGTTTGCTTTTCTGTATGTAAAGGCGAATTCTATGGAAATCTGTGAAGAAATATCCTTTCCTTCTTTTTGTTAAGATTCAAAGCTAATTATCTCGAAAAAATGCGTGGCTACCCCTATTTTTCTTCGTGGATTCCAATAGCAATTGCAAAGATCTACTTTTTCCGCGTGGTCTTAACCTGGCGCAAAAACCTTTGCAATTAGTAGGCACCGTCCTTAAGCAGACGTTTTTAACAATCTATGAAACTCCAATATTTCTATTGATAAAAGTAAAGTCCAATGGAACATGCATTAATAAGGAAAAGGGACAGCCCACAGTTTCAAATTTTCTTTTTCAAACTGGCTGGTTGCAAGAAAACTCTCTGGGGTCAAATGTTAAAATATCAGAATCAAAAGTTACAAATGATCATTTCAGAAGACCTTTAGGAATGCTTAGTACATATTTTACAGGATGACAGAAGGTACAGCATTACCCTCTCCATGGCATCCTCATTATAAGCGAGATAATACAAACACATGGAACATCCTGTTGCGGCAACTGATGGGCGTGGCACTTCCAGTAATCGCTGGACACCATTATGGGTGACAAATTCTGTGGCAAATTTCTTGTGGCAAAGAAGGGATGCTAAATACTAAAAATAAGAAAACATTTACAGTTTCCCTAGCATTAACATGTTTTTAAACGTTTTGTCATAGGTGTCAGTAGTTAGGCAATGCTCTTATAAGTTCTGCTTGTTTTTAGTACATGAAGCTACTGTGGTGAGCTAACAGCCCTTCCCATGAAAGATTCTACCCCACAGACAAAGAAAAACTGTATTGTTATTGTCACTGATAGAGAGAAGACATTCCTCTATCACTTTGGGGTGAAGATTATCGAATCACTTCCCCAAACATTTAGTAAATACTTGTTTTAAGTCATCATGTATAAAAAAATAGTGCAAATTTTAAATACCTATGGTTATTGATAAACTAAAAGCAGATTTTGAAAGATTCCTTGCTTCATCAAAGCTATAACAAAATTCACAATTGTGATTGGCTATCAGTAGGCCCCATTTTTATCCAAATAAGACAACGTAATGTGTCCCGCCAGTAATCATACAATGTTATGAACACTGTATGCGTTATGCTCGTTTGAGTAATTCTTATTAGACAGTGTAATTAGAGAGTAGGCAAAAAGGAATTAGTTGTGTAATCCAATTCTCCCTGTAATCATACTTTACCTTGTTATTAAACAAATTATCCGACACTATTACATGGCTCTCCAATTTTGTTAATCACTGCAAGACTTATGAAATTACAGTCAGATTGAATTGGACTTCACTCACTCTAATAACCATTATCAAATACAGCATGATCTGTACACCCAGTTGTGTATTCTGACTTACCTTAAGAGCTTCAAAGACAAGTTGTACATCAACTTGACCCTTGAATGTGATGTAGTGCATTACAAGATCCAGAGCTTTTGTTTCAAACACAGTTGGCAACAACTAAATGCAAACAAAGAAAAAACATGGGTGGTTATCATACATGTATGTTTTCCTTGGCTATTGACTTTCAGGCAAAGTGTATCCATTACAATGTTATCAATGGTACAATACCTCCTGATATTCTCCCAGTGGAGTCAGATATTGCAAGATGAGCCTCTGCTGCATGCCAAGTGTCAAGGGGAAGAGGGAAAATGACATAGGAATCACATGGTATCCTCCCTTAGGAACACACATTGCACTGCCTGAGGAACGGGCTGTCTTGCTTGGCTTTACCAGTGGCGAGGATCTTGTTGGTAGCAAACTCTTACCTAAAATGTAAAGTAGGTACTGTTCAGAACAATTGCCATAAAGACTGGAAACACCCAGTCCTGTAAAAAATTAAGCTTCAATTCCAATACATTTATTTATGATAATAATGCACTGGTGTGAAGGATTTTTTGGGGGGAAACAGAGTAGTACAACTGTAGGAAAGTATTAATTTGGTCATTAGAGTTTTTTCATTTTTTGGTTGGCATTTCTAGGACTGTGCCCTCCTCTATGCAAATGTACACTGTACATTCTATCTGACATTGGGGTTTGAAATGGTTGAAAAGCCTGCTCAAAATAGACCTTTGAATTTGCCAGGCTGCAGTTAATGAGGAAATCAAAGCCCATCGACTTACATGTTAATAATGATCGCCCTATTATAAACTGAACTTGCAAATGAACACAAACTGACCCTTCCCGCTGTAGCTGCTGGGGTCATCTGACACTTCACCATTGCACAGACTGGATATTTCACTGGTCTGCTGTGTGTTACTTGACGGTCCAGGCTCGGCCAAGCCTGTTTTCTTGACCTTGTAATTGAAACTGCTACCACCGTCTGCCCTGTTCCTGCTATACTTTGCCTTGAGGATAACCCTGCTAGAAAGGTCTGTTACTGCAGGCTGTGTCAGGTCTGGCAAGTCTTTTAAGATGTGCAACCGACGCAGCACACAAGGTACCTACCCATATAAGTGTCAGCATTTCAAACACAATGTCAGAGAAATAAACAACAAGTCTACTATGAGAAGTAATGTACTGTAGAATTAGCAGGACTCAAATAAAACTTGAATTCCACTTTGGGACAAGCAGCTTCCAAATTTTGCTTGCCCTGGGCAAATCTTAGTTTACTTTTATTATGAAATCTTCAGTTGGCATATGACTTGCATGGGCCCTTGGCCATCAGGAAAGTGAAATTGAAAAGTTACTAGCCTGGCA